CGGCGCCCCCAGTCGGCTGCCGACAGTCAGCACCCAGCCGGCCACGGCGACAGAGCCCGCGGGCGAGAAGGAAAAAGGAAGAACGTACTGGTAGATGCCAGGCGAAGCGAGGGCAGCGGTGGGTGGACAGCGGGCGGATCTGACGAAGACCGCTGCCGGCTTACGCCGTCCACACTCACAGAGTTTGTCCTCCACACGGCGCTAGCTGAGCAGGCGGGCTGAGCTGCGCACGCCGCACACGCGCAGAGCAGAGACAGAAACAGAGACGGCGTTACTGGCGCTCGCCCCGCCAAGGGGCCAACACGACCCTTGGGGGCGCTCGGGCTCCGGAGCCCCGTAAGGAGAAAGACGCGGCCGGCACAGGGCGAGGGGCGTCGCGCCTCGTCCTCGCTGCGAAGTCACGCGCTTCTGCCCTGAGCGCCAGCGGGAGGAAGGGCACTGAGCCCGCGGTCTGCTGCCTGCCCTGCGCCCTCCCCCACCCTCCCCCCGCGCGGGAGAAGGGCAGGGCAGACCCTGCTCCCTCCCTGCCAACCCAGTCCTGGCCCCTGGGGCCTCAGGAGGCAGGCGGGGAGGACACGGCCTGGTCACGGCCGCCTTCAGAGGCCGCCAGACCTCGAGCTCGGGGCCTCAAGTCCAGGCCTCAGGGCACCGTGTCCAGGACGGAACAGGCCCCGGCGGGAAGCACTTGGGGGGAGACCAGCGTGGGGCCCACCACCGCCCCTGGCCCTGGGCCTGGGCTGCCCTCCATGTCTGCAGTGGACAAGGCCTGGCCTGGTCTGGCAACAGCTGCAGCATCTCCCACTGCTGTGGACCGAACCGAGACCTGGGGCCGCACAGGGCCTGCAGGGAGACGTAGCCACCCACCCGCCACAGGGGGAGAGGGAGCTCCACAGAGAAGGGCACGAAGAAGCGGGAAGTCGGGGCTCCGCACCCCGAACCTCTGAAACCACTGGGAGAATGAGCTTTTCGGTCCTTTCCGCTAGCAAGAGAGACTCTTTCTTCACACACACAGCCAGAGGCCCCGTGGGGCGGAGATGACCAAGGCATTTGTACTCAGCCTCACAGAATCAACACCTGCACACAGTCTAGGGGCGCTGGGGAGGTGGGAGACGCCTGAGCAGGGCCAGCTGACCTGCTGGCCTCCCTGCCCAAGCCCCGCCGGGGACAGGAGGGGGCTGCGGGACTTGATCTCGAGCCTCCATCCTCGCTCGGGCGCCCCATAGGGCCCAAGTGTGGGTGCCGCCCGGAGGGCTCAGGGTCCTGGCGTCTGCCTCCCCTCCGCTCAGCGGGTGTGCTCGGGAGGTAGGATACAGGGGCCAGATGACCCCGAGTGGCAGGCAGAGCGGGGGGGGTCTCGAGGGCGCACTGTCCTGGGGTGACCTGCACCCCCTCCCAGACAGCAGCTCCGCCACAAACACAACTGGGCTCACCTGGGTGGTGCCAGCCGCCCAGAGCGCCCCAATCCCTGTCCCTTGGGGGCCGCTGTCCCTCCTGCCCCGGACGCCCGCTGGTGGCGCCGTGGGACCCGCCTGAGGGGCACAGTGGCCAGGGGCACGAGACGAGACTGTCAGGCCTCGGTGCCATTCTGGTAACGCAGGGGCTGCCCCACGCCACGTCTAGGGGCTGGAGGAAGCAGAGAAGGCGAGAGTGTACGGACCAGCGTCCAGGGCCACTCCGGCCCGGGCCTGCCGGGGTCCCTGCGCCCCAAACCCGAGCCGAGTCAGCACACCGCCAACACGCGGCACTTGGCGGACCCCTCTAGGATGAGAACCAGGGAGCTAGACCCCAGGTGGCAACCAGCACCCCAACCTGGCGTCTAGCCACACACGCCTGTGCGGCAGAAAGCAGCCGCCTCCACGCTGCTGGCCCCAGCAGGTCAGTACCTTTGGCAACGTTCCGCGGGGGCAGCGGGGGGGCGCCGGCGCCTGGGGCCGCGGGCTGGCCGGGCGGGGAGCTGCCGCTCAGGGTGGCCCCGTACGTCTCGTTCTGCAGCAGGCTGGGCGCGAAGCTCCTCTGCTTGTCCTTGGCCAGGCCGGCGGTGTCTCTGGCCAGGGACGCCACACTGGACGACGGCTGGTTGGCCCCCAGCTGGTAGAAGCTGACAGGCCGGTCTTCTCGCCGGCTGGGGCTTGGCTGCGGAGGGGACAGGCAGAGCGTGAGATGCGCTGACCAGCGGGACGTGACCTCTGGGGAGGCCGCGGGGCACTGCTGCCTCCTGGGCTGGGCGTGCGGCTCTCCAGTCGGCCACTCACTTTTCTCACACAACTTATGGAAACGCACGCCGAGAAGGCCTCGGTTTCCGAGGTACAGTGTCTACTCCGCGAAGGCTTCAAATGGAAGTGACCTCGTCCTGCCTAGCCAGGGTCTCGGGCCAGCTCACTGCCCTTCATGAATGTGGTCCTCAGACTACAGAACAGGAGGCCCTCTGCACCCCCACGCCCCGCCGGTCAGTCCGGAAGAGGGCCGTTTCCTTCCTATGCAAACTGGTAGCCCTGGAATTCCCCCACCTGGGGGCGAGCAAGCCAGGCCCAGGGCCTCCGCCCACTGGCACGAGTAAGGTTTTACTGGCACACGGCCGCGCCCGCCTTTACACGTCATCGAGGGCTGCCACAGACAGTGGCACTTCAGGCCACAGCCTGAAACAAGGGACCCGCCTGGAGGCTGCAGCCTCTCCCGCTGCCTGCAGGTGGCGTGCGTGGCCCAGGACTCGGTCACTGACCTCGGGGGTCAAGTGGCGTCCTGATGGCAGTGGCCCAGCCGCGCCCACCTGCCTGCTGCCCCCCAGGCTCTGGCCCCCTGCGGAGCTGAGGCTGAGGGCAGGGTGCAGCTGGCGCTGGGTAAACGGGCGCCCCTGGGGCAGGGCTTCAGGTCTCCCCTTTTTGGGTGAGTAAGAACCTGGTCAGCGTTTGCCTGACACCGTTTCATAGCTAGACTCGGCAAGGAAATTTATTCTGGGCTCTACGGCACGAGACACCGGTGTTCGCTCCACTAACAAGGCACTGACAGGTGAGAGCCCCTGCACGGACGTGGGAAACCACACAGGCGAGGACCCCGAGTCCTTCTGTGACGATGGGGGAGGTCCTCGGCATCCCCACTAATGTCACAGTGGCCAGCAGGGTGGGCCTGGAGAACTGAGCCGAGGCGCTGAGTCGCGTGAAGGGGCAGCCGGCCAGGCCCCTCCCCACGCGCAGGGCAGGGGTAGGAGAGGGGCCTTGGGGGAAGACAAGAGCCCTCTCTGGGCCGGGCTGACCAGACATGGCCGCACTGTGGCCACGCCCACCTCTCCTGGAGCCCTCGGCGCCCCCTCAGGTGAGGGCGGCAGTGCGCTCCCGGGTCACTTGGCTTCAGCTTAGGTGAGCAGGTGCGCCTCACGGCGAGCGGCCTTCTGGCTCCTGCCCACATGCCCACGTGAGCTCCTGCTACTCCCACGAGACTCGGGGCCTCCCCCATATTTCCTCCAGGGCGAAGGGGCACGCGGGAAACACCGTTACTCCGGGGTGCAGAGCGCAGACGCGGCAGCGGTGAGCAGGCACCGGCGCCCCCGGGCCCGCGAGCCCCGACCGCACACACCTGCAGCTTCTCGTCCATGTCGTCGTCGCTTTCATCCAGGTCCTCGTGGAGGAGCCGCCACTCGTATTCAACGTGGACGTGGGAATTGAACCTCCCGGACAGGGCTTGGGTCAGCTGAGGGGGACGAGCTGGTCAGGGCTGCTGTCAGGGCTCCGCGGGCCAGGCGGCGGAGGGCTCGCACTCGCCCGCCACGGCCGGCTGACCCAGAGACGCCGCCCTGGCCCAGCCCGTGGGCCCCCAGAGCTCGGGCCACTTGCAAACTGCAAGTGGCAGCTGAGACCTGGGTGACAGCCGGCCCGCACTGCCAGCAGCTGTCCCGGGAGCGCCTGGGAAGAATAAACCTTACTGCGCCAACCCAGCCCCCACACCCCGAGGTCCGCGCCCGCCCAGAGGCAGGTGGACGCAACTTCACGCTGCATGCACGTGTCTGGGACACTCGGCCTCTCCCAGACCCACAGAGGCCGAGAGGCTGGGCGGTGCGGCTTTGGGCAAGTCACTTAGCCTTCCTGTGCCATTCCCTCATCTGTGAAATGGGGAAACCAGGAGAAACCGTGTCCTGAGGCAGCGCTGAGAGTGACCAAGGACGGGGCTGTCGGGGGCCGCGCCCCCCCCCCCCAACCCCCGCGCATCGCCTCGGGCGCACCGCTCTGGCTCCACTGAGCGCCCGCTGCTTTCAAGCCCAACAACAGTTCTCAGAGCCCAGGTACCGCCGTGGGCAGAGTGGACAGTGCTGCCGGGCTCCCCAGGGAAGCCCAGGTCTGCCTGTGCACGGCGCACCGGCGGCTCTTCCAGTCCAGGAGAAGCTGGCACAGACGGCCGGGATGACTCGGGGCTGGGAACGCCAGAGGCCAGTTTTGGGAGCTGTGGCCTGGAGCTAAGCCGACGGCCCGGAGACGCCCGAGACCTGCGCTGAGGCCGCCGCTCCGGCGAGCCCACCGGCGCGAGCAGCCGCCTGCGTCCCGGCCCCAGGAGCCCCGCGAGGGGCCGCGCGGCCACTCACCAGCTCCTCGCAGTGCTCGTGTCGCAGGCGCCTGGCGATGTCCAGCGGCGTCTCACCCGCCTCGTTGGCTGCGGGCGCGGGGGCGGGGGGGGCGTTACGGCAGCCCAGGCCAGCGAGGCTGCGCGTGACCCCCCGGTCAGGGTCCCCAGTCGGCAGGGCTAGGAGGGCGTGACGACGGGGGACCCCGCACCCGGCTGGCGGTCACGGCCCGCCTCGCTCTGGGCCGGTTCTGCCACACCGGCCTTCTGCCCCGGCCCGCCCTTGCCCTTCACGCAACAGTGGTTCCAAAGCGCGTGGGGCCTGCTCGCAGGGGAGCTGGGGCGGGTGCGGAGTGGGCGCTCACCGATCTCAATGGCCGCCTTGCCTCGCAGCAGCAGCTTCAGGCACTCGGCGTTGGCGGTCAGGCAGCAGTAGTGCAGGGCCGTGCTGCCCTTCCCGGTCTGCTTGTCGAGGTTCCCGCTGGCGGGCGCGGCGGACAGGAGCCGTGGTCAGGGCCGGGCGCCGGGCAGGGCACGGCGGGGCCCCCTGTGCGCTGACCCTCCCTCAGGAGGAAGCCCTCCCCGGGGCCAGCGTCTGCGGGCTCCTCGGAGACGGCCCTCCCTGGACTGCCCCGAAAACCAGGCTAAGGGCGTGGGAGGAGGGTTCCTTTGCTTCCCCGTGAGATTCCTGATCTGAGTATAACATCAGAAACCATCTTTCCACCAGCCGGAGCCTGGAAACGTTTTGAGAAACGACCCATCGGTCACGACGACTCTGAGAAGCCACAGCACTTCCCACGTGGCGGCTCCCGCGGGACCGCAGGGGCCAGGGAGACGGCCAGACGTCCGGGCGGCGAGAAGGGCTAGCGGAGCCGCACTGGCCGGCCCAGCCCCTCCGGGACGGGCCCGAAGGCGGCTGACAGAGTGCGGGCCTGGGCCGGGCAACGGGAGGCCGGGTGCGGCCAGAGCGGGGGTTCAGGACAGCCCGGGCCTGGGGGTCCCCATCAGGGTCCCTCATCAGAAGCGCTCACGCACGGAGGTGAGGTGGGGGAGGGCAGGAGGGCAGGAGGGATCGGTTCTCCCACGTCAGGCCAGCCAGGCGACCCTAACGATGCCGCGCACCCACAGGGGACGCAGCACTGGCCGCGGGCAGCAGCCCCACCCGGCTAGAGCTTGGCGGCAGCTTCCATTCCACGCAGGCAACTTCAGCGCCCTCCCCTGTGCACACCACCCCGCGGGGTCAGGAGTCCCGCTTCTGGACAGGCCTGCAAGCCCGGCCTCCGCCGCCAGCGGCAAAGCAGCGCAGCGAGAGGGCAGCGGCCGCCGCAGCCCGTCGGAGGCAGCTTCTCCAGCAGGCGAGTCCACACGCGAGCCCCGGCTCAGCCTCGGCTGCGCGAGCGGCCCCTTCCTGTCCCCATCTGGGCGTCACGGGACCCCAGACAGCCTGCTCCCTAGAGCTCGCAATGCAGCAGGTGCGTGGCCTGGGGTCTCCCTGAGGCCTGGCCAGGAGAGCTGGACCCTGTGTGTCCACCAGGGTCTCTGTCCCACTCCAGGGCGTGTGGAGGGCTATACCCGACATCATCCTGGGCCTACAATGCGACTTCAGGCCCAGGAAGTAGCCAGCCTGGCCGCTCCCTGAAGCAATGGCGCCCGCTTGCCCCCTCAGGCAGTGGGGCTCCCCCAGGCTGGCCCTGACTTTAGGGCACCTACCTGTTCTGAACCAAGAAGTCAACGATGTGAAGGGACGTGCGGTCCACGGACCTGACCGCGAGATGCAGGGCTGTCTCGTCTGGCTCCTGAAAACCAGAGCGGGGCAAACGTTCCAGCACCCGGCAGCACTCAAGCCTGGGCCCTCTCTAGGAGCCTCTTCATCTTCCCCGGGGCACCCCGAGACCGTCGTCTCCACGCACAGCCCTGCCGCGGGGACGCGCGGAGGCGAGCGAGCAGCTGGGGGGTTTCTGCTAGGCCCCTCTGCTGCTCGAGGTGGGGTACTGGCTTCAGATCCTTCCTCGCCCCCCTGCAGGCGGCTGGGCCGCTGCCCCCCCGCGGGCCTCTGAAGGCAGCTGCAGCAGGTGGGGGAGAGACGGGAAGGGAGCCGGGGAGACGGCGCCCCAGAGCCGCCTGGCTGCACTGCCCGCTCAGCCAGCCCGGCCAGCCCGGCCCCCTGGCCAGGGGCAGCCCAGCGTGGCTCACGCTGACAGGAAGGCTCCCAGGGCGCCCCGCCCAGCCCCAAGCCCCAGGGCCGGAGGTTCCACAGGGCCCCGAGGGGACAGCCCACAGGACGCCCGCGGGCAGGCACCCTGCGGGTCCACTGTGCCCAGGCTGGCCTGGAGACCCGCCCTGCCCCAGCCCAGGTGGCTGGGGAGACCGCACCCCGCTCCCGGGTGCTGGCCTCAAGGGGCTCCCTCCCAGGGCCGGCGTCGCCCCATTTTGGCCCCCGCACACTGGGCGCAGACCCTCGGCCGCCGCGCCGCGCTGCCCGCCGGCCCCCCGCCTCCCGTTTTGTCGACGGCGGCGCGCCCGCTCTCACGTGTCCGTTGGCCAGGGGGATCTTCGCCGTCAGGTCCACGCCGTCGGCGTAGGCCTGCAGCAGCCCCAGCACGTCCCGCGTCCTGACGGCCTCGCAGAGCCCGAGCAGCTTGGCGGCGCGGTCCCCGGGGCTCTTCCTGGCGAAGCGCCTCTCCATGTACTTGGCCGTGATGTAGTCCTTCCTGGCGTTCCTGCGCCCGCACCAGCGCCCTCAGCAAGGACGCCACGCCCGCGCCGCCCCTCGGCAGGACGACCCGGGGCGTCGCTCCGTGTCCCTCGCCCGCCTCCGCACGGCCCTACACCCTCCGCTGTGGAGTCGGCGGTGACCTCTGCGGGCCCTGGGGGCCGCAGCACCCTGCAGACTGGGGCGCTCGCTCCGCCCACCACCGGGAGAGGGCACCTGCCTGCCGAGGGCTCCCGGGGCCACCGAGACTCGAGCCTCGGCGAGGGGAAGGGTGTCCGTGGGCCGCCTGCCCGCTGCCCGGGCCACCCACCACCCCGCCCGGGAGCCACACCATGTGCTTGGCGGCGGCCAGCTGCAGGTACCTCACACCCTGCCCACCACGTACCCACCTGAGCCTGACACACCTGAGCCCCCGCGGCGTAAGCGCCTTTACTGGACTCTGCGACCTGAGGCCGCGGGCAGGGGCAGGCCGGCGGGGGCGGGCTCGGCCCCCCAGCACACGCCCCGCACACTGGCCACAGAAACCTGGTTCTCTGCTTCCAGAGGCCCGGGCCGCCGCCTAAGGACAAGCCCCTCTCTTCCCCCGATCAGCAGCGCCCTGCTGTTTACTAAGGAGGAGAAAACCACTGCTGGGCCCATGGCCAGCTGGGTCTGCTGGCCCCCCGCCCCAGGCGTCCCTGCGAGAGGACTCCGCCATCCTTGGCAAGTTGTCACCCTTGTCACCCACCCTGCTAGAGCAGCCTGCTCCTAGCTGGCCGCCCCCCGGTCCTCCGGCCTGGCCTCAGTCTGCTGGGGCCACCAGGGACCACTCTGTGGGCAGAGGGTGGCCGGCCACCTCACCAGGCCATGTGACCGGGGCCACTTACGCCCCGTCCCCAGCACGGGCAGAAACCAGGCTCGCTTACATGTCGCTGCCGGGGGTGGGTTTGACCGCGTCCTCCGCGGGCAGGCAGCTCTCCATGATCTCGTTGAAGCCTGCATTCCCGATGTTCTTGGCCAGCTGCAACGACAGAGTGGACGCCACGGCGCTCAGTTATTAACGCCGCCCGGCACGCGCCTGCGGCACTGGTTACTCCGTCGCCGCTCAGAGGCAACAAGCGGCCGCCTCTACGGCCCAGAGGCGCCGGAGGGGCGCGCGCAGCGAGGCTGTCAGCAGCGGCGCCCCCGGCACCCGCCTGCGTCCGGGACACAGACACAGGCCCGGTGTGTTTCCACCCCCTCGCTCCCCCAGAAACCTGGCTCCGGCCACGGCGGGGACCCACGACCGGCTCCTACTCTGCGGCTCCTGACGTGGGGTGCGGGGTACCAAGCTCCAGGGCACCCTTGCCCCGGCGCCCAGCCGCCTCAGGAAACAACCCACAGCAGCTCAGAGGTGACGGTCCCAGGCGACAGCTGCCCGGGGACGCCGCCCACACGCCCACCTCCAGTTTATCTGGGTGGCTGAGGAGTAAGGCTGTGGACACGGGGCACCCCACAGTCCAGCACTGTGCGGTGGGGCACGCCCACGGCGGCCTTGGCTTTCCTGACAGCCGCCAGCGACAGAGATCTAGAAAAGGGGCAAGACTAGGTGCTGAGGCGGCCTGCAGGCTCCGCCCTCAGCCCGCCGCCAGCCCTCCACAGCCATGAAGAAATTGCTTCTTCAAGCTCTACGCCCCTGCGGGGTACGCAGGCGCCCTGGGACACGGGGGCAAGACTCGGCCAGGATCACCAGTCACCTGTCTCCTGCCAAGACGGAGACGGCCAATCCCTTCCAAGGGCTCCCGAGGCCTGCCCCCAAGCTCCCCACTTTTGTCTAGGGGACGCGGGGATGCCGGTGGACAGGGGCTGGGCCAGGTCCCCCCCAGGCCGGGAGGCCATTATACAAATTGGGAGGGGCCGACCCGCTCACGCCAGAATGTCGCTGCACCTGTCAGGCTGAGCCGGGCCCAGTGCCCTGGGCCCCGGAGCTGGGTGGGAGGAGGGCCAGCCGTGCTCCCCACAGGCTCACACTCACATCTCGGAGCCCTCAGGTGGGGGACACCCGGGAGTCTCAGGGACGCCACCCCGCCCCCGGACTGGCTCTCTGTGACTGGGCCCGCGGCTCTCCCGTGTAGGTGGGGAGAACACACCAGGTCAAGGGCTGGGGGGGGGGGGCAGGTGCCAGGCTTCGGCCGGAGTGAGTGGTCACCGTTCCCCTGGGCCACCTCGCACGGCCGCTGGACCAAGGTGTGGCTGGGCGGCTCGCTGAGAAGCTGGCGGCTGGAGGGCAGACTGCAGGGCCCCGCTAGGCGGCCCCGGCACCCCGGAGCCCGCGGGCACGTCGTGGCCGCCCAGGGCGGTCTTCACGGCAGGGGGTGCCACCAACTGCGTCACCAGAAACCTGCGGGGCTGTCTCAGCTTGTCTCCCCGGAAAGGTGTCTGGCAAGGCCATGGAAATGCACCGCAAGTTCAGGCACTTCAGACGCCGACCGCAGCGGGTGAGGCCCTCCGGGAGTGGCGCTGACCGTCACGATGGATTTTCCGTCAAGGCAATGGCTCTTGACGCTTGAATCGATAGTGACCAATAGCCACTTAATTAGCGTGCTCCATGCTCTATCCGAGGCCACTGACTCCCAGAGAGAGCTCTGAATGCTGCCTGTGCCCCGCACAGGGTCCCCAGAGCCCCAGGCGGCCCGCAGCGCCACCACGCACGTGCGGGCTTCTGGACACTCCTGTCCAATCCAGAAAACCCTTCCGCCCTGACCTGCATCGCGGGGCTCCGCTACCCCGAGCTAGAGAGGCGCACAGGCAGCAAGACCAGCGCCCTCCCAGAGGCGACACCCGGCACAGAGCTCCGGCAAGGGGCGACGCGGTGCTGGCAGACCGGCTGTGACCCTGGGCCGGGCCCCCGTTCTGGGGGGACTAGCTGGGGCCACCCCGTGATGCCTGAATCCCGCCAGTCCTCACTCTCCTTTCCGACTTCACTTGACTCACAGATCCAGCTTGGCGCTAAGGTGCGCCGACACCCCCAGCAGCCGAGGCCCCCCCCGCCCCGCCCCGCCTTCTGATCACCCACCCCCTGGCACCTCGGCGGCCCCTAGCACCCTCAAAATGGGCTGTCCCGCCAAAACAAACCTCAGCTTTCAGCAACTCGGCCCCCGCCCCAACGTGAAGGACTGGGAGTTACCAGCAGCTCCGAGGTCCCTAGAACATCCAGCGTCAGGGACTGCATCCTGGAGTAGTGAACCCCCAGCTCTCGGTGGATGCCGGAGCACTCGATGCAGGTCAGAATGCCCAGGTTGGTCGACAGCCAGGTCGGATCTGCCGGAGTGGAGAACGGCAGTGAGCCAAGGCAGGGTGGCACCTCCTGTCGTCACGGGCGAGCAGTTCAGAGCATCATCTCCCGACCCTTGACGGGGACCCTCGCTGATCCGCACGCACCTCCAATTTGCACACGACACACACCTGTGCGCCCCGCTGCCCGCCCCTCTCCTCTGCTGACAGGCATTGTCTACGGGGAGGACACAGAGCGCCGAGTGGCCACGGCCTTCCGGGCCCTTCCTGAGCACGCCAAGCGCATCCCCACGTGGTGCCGGCAAGGGGCGGGAGTCATCGGCCAGAGGACGGGCGTCTGGCACAGCCGGCACAGGCCGGCCACGGCCACACGTTCACACGGGCACAACGCGGCCGGGAGCACACGCTGCGTGCTGGTGCAGGCTCCGGGCAGCTGCGCCCCGGCGAGAGCCTGGAGCGGGCGACAGCCGAGGCGGCGGGTGTCCACCGGGCGTGTGCTCACTCGCTGGGCAAGCGCTGGGCAAGCGCAGGGCCCGCTGCGGCCCTAACCTACGGCGCCACGCCTGCGGCTCGGTGCGCCCCCTTGGCGTCCCCTCGCAAGCCAGGCGCACAGCAGGGCTCAGGAACGCCGAACGTGCTGGAGACGGCGCATGGCGGGGCCAGGAACCGACCCTTTGGGGCAGCTGGCTGCCCTGAGAAACTCAGGGCAGCTATGTAATTATGGCCACTGAGCCAGTCAGATGGCCGGGAAGTGACTTTTCAAGTGTTCTGGTTGTAGACGTCAGCAGTTCAGGAAAATGTCCGGGCGTCGGCAGCGCCCCTTCCCCGACCCGGCCAGCCCTGTCTGCGGTGCTCCTGGCACCCGGTGGTGACGGGGACCCACCACCGTCCACTCAGCCACTCGCCCAACCTGCCTCAGCCTCCGGAAAGGCCTCGTGCGGCTCTGTCCTTTCTTGAGAAACAGCACGAATGCGCAAGGTCACCCCCTCCTCATCTCCTGTCAGGTTTCTCATCGGCCCAGCCCCATGACACAATCCCTCAGCTCATGCCCGGGTCTAGGCTCCGCCGTGATGGCGGCCTCGCTTCTCACCCGTCTGCTCTGCCCGTTTGCTGTCAGAGAAACTGGCGCAGGGTTAGAGGGACACGAAGGCTGGAGGCCACCCCAGTGCCGCCTTTCTCATTGGACAGCTATCCAGAAGGCTGGCCCGTGGCCCCGGGTTCGGACCTGCACCACCCTCAAATGCCAGAGCAAACCTCCCATCTCCCAGAATGCAATGGGCAGAGGAGCCTGAAAACAGTCTCTGCCGCTTCCTGCATTTGTAGAGCGGGAAAGCCAGTGTCCAGCAAGGTCAGTGGCTCGCCCGGCCGCCCACCTGCCAGCACCGTCTCTGCGGCGTCGACCCACGGCACACACAGCCTGTCCAGGCGGCCGACACCGGGCCCCAGCTCTTTCTGCCTCAACTTCTAAGAGCATCCACACCTTTCACCGTCTAGACTGCGGGCCCTGCTCCTAGGGCAGGTCTCATCCCCCCCCCTTCCCCGGGGTCACCCCCTGAGCTGTGAGCTGGCATGGTGGGGTCAGAGCGGCCAGGCTGGGCCGCGTGTGAGGCGCTGCGGGGCCGGTGGTCACCTGGCGCCCCGCAGTCACAGCACACATCGTTGCCAGCCATCCGCTGCACTTCGGAGATGATCTCCTTGGTCAGCTCCTGGACGATGTTGTTTTCTCCAGTGTTGTCGTCGCCCTTAAATGCATTGTTCAAAGCTTCCTCTTTGCTGTTCTGCAGCACAGACATCCAGCTGGAAAACCACAGGACTGGGTTAGCCCATGCTGTGCCCGCCCCCAGCCCGCCTGCCCGCCCCGCCCCACGGACTTACATCTGACATTCCTGCTCGTCTTCGGCCTGAAAGTGGTATGTCCTGTCATCTGCAGGCAAGAGGAGCCATCAGCTCTGAGCCGACTGTCGCCCAGACACAAGTCCCAAAGGCACTGGCTGGGGCCAGTGTCCACTCTGCCGAACAGAGAGCTGCCTGCACACCACCTGCGCTCGCCAGTGCTGGTCTTTGTGGTTTTGTGATGCGAATTAAAGAACCTGCCCGTTCTCCCTTCAGAGTGAGGACAAGCAGCCCCCACACGCTGGAACCATCAGGATGCTTCCAAACTTGCTTCAGACTTGGCCCCCTATGACAGTGAAAGCCTTTCTAAAGTGGGGCCCCGGGATGTTTCTGGCCTTCTCAGGAAAACACCAGCAGCTGCTCTGTTCTGTGGTCATTCTGCCGTGTACACCACCGGCCAGAAACGCACAGGGACCAGAAAGATGAGTTCTGTGACAGGCGAGATGAACCGCCAGAGGCCAGACTTCAAGGCCCCACGAGCCCAGCACTCGGCCTGGTGTTTCTCACCAAGCTGCACAATGGCAGTGTGTGTGTGAGCGCATGAGGTGTGTGGCAGGGGGCATGTGGGGGATGAGGAAACAGCTAGAAGTCAAGCGCGTTTCTCTGAAAACCAGCTGTTCACAGTATCTAAAACGGTGCCGAGAAGACAGCCATCTGCTGTGGTCCAGGAGCCAAGGAAGAAACTTACGTGAAATCAGGTCAAAACACTTTTTCTCCTCTGGGTTAGTCTTCACCTGGCAGGTTAACAGGTTGAGCTTTGCAGGAGGCCGGTTAGCCTGTTTGGAAACAGAGAGGTGGACAGTGGGAAGGCAGCGAGGCAGACGCCCTCCTCCAGCGGCATCGGCAGTCGGCCCAGCCTGCAGGGAGCCCTTGGGGAGCAGACAGCAGACAGCTCGCGGGACGCACAGCCCGGACCTCGGCTCTGCCGGAGGAAGGAACAGCCCAAGCCCTCCTGGGGCAGTCATCTCGCAGAGCAAAAATGGCCGGCATCATTTTCTCTCCTTCCTGAACTGATGACACACACCAGTCATCATCCTGAGCGCCAACCATCTGTGTCTCAGGTTTCAGCACAATCTACCCGTTCGCACGTGCACCTCCCACGCCAACCAGCGATCACACCACACTGTTGTCAGAGATATGTCAAAAGTGGCTTATTTTATCACCATTTCCCAAGCTACACAATCAGTCCAAAAAAGCAAAGGGCAGAGGATAAGATTCTTTTTGGGGAAACAAATTCTGAATGGCAAGATGCCTGGGAGAAGCCCCCCGCCACGCATGGGCTTATCTTCTCATCTGCCCAGCTCCTGGAGAAAAGGGAAACAAACACTTCTTGGCTTCAGTCGCCCTTGCCCCCACCCCCCCACCCCCTCCCACGGCCGGGAACCTGCAAGAGCTTGGATGTGGGCTAACCTAGATCCGCACAGCGCCCTCTTGGGAGAACCTCCACACCCTCCACGCGGTGCCCCGGTCAGGCCGGGGAGCGTGTCTCCCTCGCAACACGCCCGCGCCTGCGGTGAGCCACCTGGCTGTGAACAGCCTGGCTGGGCAGTCTGGCTCAGCGGGGCCTGGGCAGGCAGCGCTGTCCAGATGCTCCCAGGCCGTGGCCGCCACTGAAACCGAGAGGCCCCGAGCGTCAGCGGCCAGGTCGGGGACTCACACCCCACCGCCGTGTGCAGACGTGACGTTCCAAGCATAAGCGTCATCCGCCCAACCTTTACCGACGGGACGACCCGCGCGTCCGGAACCGCCACACCAAGCACCCTGCGCACCTGTCACGGCGCACCGCACGCCTCGGCAGGTGCCGGCCCTAGGGCTGTCTTTCCGCCACCTCCCGCGACATCCTGCTCTACCCCCAGACTGCTCAGGCCCGGGGCAGTGAGCGGCCTGGCGCTCTTTGGTAAAGAGACAGTTCACGGACGAGAAGGCGGCGCTGAATGAGCACGTCGCTGCACTCACTCAGCTATGCCCAGCCAGACAGCAAGCATACAGCTAGGATTATTCTGTGAACGGGTGTGCAGGGGCGATGCCGGGCCAGTCTGTGTTTTCAGAGAGTAGCAGTCTCCCACGCGGCGCGGTTCTGACTCGGCACAGCGTGTCCACACCCCCAGCTCTTCCCACAGACCAGTGGCCTCCGCGCTTTGCCCCCACCCCCACGCCGCCTGGAGTCGCCCCACTCTGCAGTCGGTTTGCAGGGCTTGCTCCGCGAAGTGCTGTCTGTGCCTGAGTTGTTTCTTCATGTTGTACACAGAAGGGAGAGCGTCCCTTTTGCCCTCCTGCTTGTTTCATTTGCATCACCTGCAGTTCCATCCAGGTCCTCACAAAGCAAGAGTCCGCAGTGTTTCTGCTTACACCTGCTCCTGGCTTGTGCGCGGGGCCCCTCCAGTTCTGGAGGCGGATACTGGCCTGCAGCCGACGGACAGACGCCCCCCGCCCCCACAGGGCAAAGCGACCGTGGCTTCACCTTCAAGTCTCTCTCAGGGCAGCGAAGAATCCCCTCTGACCTTTCTCCTCTAACTTTTGCTCTTTCAATTCCCCTTCGCTACAGGGGAAGTGATTCTTCTCACATCAAAGACTTTTCTTACTTCGCAGGGTATGAACGTCACCCTCAAAACAGGAGACAATGACCAGTGTCAATTATCTTAAGTCAAAATCACAAGGGACAAACGTGGCTCCATCTTAAAAAGTAAGAATGTCCGTAAGCACAGAACCGGCCACCACAACCGGCATCAGCTGTTTTAAGTCTCGCGTTCACCACTGTTTGCTACTTGTTCAGCCTGATTAAATGTTAGCTGACATCAGAGCTGTAGGAAACATTTCTGGGAGGAAAACTTCCGATTGAAAAGACCCCATCCACTGAATTTCCTCTCTGCTGCACTTGAGAAACAAGCGCGTCATCCTTGAATTCAGCCAGGGACAGGTGTGGGCGCGGCGCCGGGTTCGCGGAGCCCTGGGTCAGCGTGCAGGGGCGAGACCCAGGGGTCAGGGCCTGCCTGCAAGGCGGGGTCGCCGTGATGCTCCCACTCCTCCATGTCTCCCCCCGCCCCAATATTCAGACCCTTAGAAAGGAAATGGACATTCTTCTTTCTGCCCGATTGAGGATTAAAACAGTTTCAGATTGTGGAAAACCAGTGGACATTTCTTCCGGCTTGATACGGTCTCGGCAGCGCGGCCGGCTGTGACTCGGCAGAGGGCACCTGATTCGTTCCTCCGTCCCCAGGACGCTTCTCTGCAGGGCCAGGGAACACAACTGGCCTTGGCTTGTGGGGAACACCCGCGTGGGCCCCCAGATTCAACCCGCGTTCCACGCCCCCCACGGGTGTCCGACACCACAGCCCACTTCCCAATGGCCAGCTTTCTGGAAGGAACAGCGCCGACGCCCGTGTCGCCCTGGCTCAGCCCGACGCGGCTGGGGGCCAGCTCCCGCAGACGCCCGGCTCGCCGGCCACGTCCCTGGCATGCCGCTTCCCAGCCAGACGCAGAGTGAGGCTCCCGCGGGTGCCGGCCGAGCAGGAAGCGCGTGGGCGCCAATCAAAGCCGCACCAGCCAAGGGACCGCGGGCCCCCAGGGCAGTTGACTCACGGCACGGGGGACAAGCGGCGGCTGCCCAAGGAGTAGCACTGGCACGCGTGCCCGTGTGCGGCAAGAGTGAGCGCACGCAGGCGTGCAGCGAGGCTGTGCCTTCCAGCGCATGCAGACGCCCAGGAAAGGCGAGGAGAGGCGCGTCTCAGGGCACACTGCCCATGACCTTCCCGCAAGCCAAGGGACCGCACCCCACTGCCCCGGATGGGGTGCGGGCTCTGGCCACTCCTAGAGCTCCAGGCCAGGTGCTGGAGCAGGAGGCCGCGTCCAGCGTCCCTGGGGAGGTCCCTCCCACACCGAGCACCGGCAACGTGCCAGCCATGTGAGGCCGAGCCGCCAGCCCCCCGCGGAGCTGCCTATGGCTGTGCGGCGGCCCAGGCCGGGAGGCCCAGCCCTGGAAGCCAGGGGGCGACGCGCGCGCTCAGCAAAGCCTGTTCTGCTTCCCCCACGGAGGGAGAACTACCCTGGCCCGAGCTAGGCCCTGGGCCCAGCGGAAAGCTGACACACCAGGACTTCGGAGCTCCGGACCAGCAGGGACTGAAACTGGGTCTTATCAGACAAACTGCCGGGCAGGAGGCGGCAGGCCCGAGAGAAAGCCGCCGACACGTGGACAGCATCTGGCCGCAGACCACAGACCACAGTGCATGGGCGCCGGGCCGGGCAGCCGCCGGGAGCTTTGTCTTACTTATTTACTTTTCCGCTTTTAAAATACGACATTTACCGCTTCGCTGTGTTGATGCAGGACAAGTGTGCGCTCGTTTTGAATTTGGAAGCAGACAAGTGAACACACAGGGGAAGAAAAGCACCGGCCGGGTGGGGTCTCTGTTCTCGAGGCAGGCCCAGTTCTGGCCAGCTCCCGGGTCCCCTTCAGAGAAACGCGGCCCTAACACATCACCACCGGCTTTGCCCAGTGTGTGGGCAGGAGCCACTGGGCCAGCTTCCTCCGGAAGACAACGCGAAAAGAGGTGGATGGAGGGTGAAAGAGGCTGTAGATCTTTCTGGAACCGCCACCACTGTCATGTAGCTTCCCACGGCCTTTTGGAAAAACCTGTCCTACGGGCTCTCCCCTTGCCACTCTGAAAGAGGAGGCAACCCAACCCACACATGCCCCCGCGGCCTGCAGCGCCCAGCCCACACACGCATGGCGAAGGATGGAAGAGACACCCCATAGGTGAGAGCCGCCAGCAGGGCAGGACCAGCAGCGAGGCGGAGAGCTGAATCTCGGAAAGGAGAAGAGACCTCACTGCACAGGCCAGGCCCCAGTCAGCGCCTAGGACTCTGGTCGCGGCCCCAGAGCCGCACAGACCGCACGTGGCATCGCGTCCTACTCTCGCTCCGCTCCCGCAGCGGGGACCGCCACAGGGCAGAGCCCGTGGGACCCGCCTGGGTTACTGCTTCTTCACTGTGCACGCACAGGGCTGATTCTCTGCGGCCCTCGGTGAGCCTGGGCCTTTCTCCAGGGTGCTAGCCAGGCACCGCCTTTCTCAGGGGCCTGCGGGGGGCTGGGGGCGCCAAGGTCCCCAGTGTCACAATCGGGACAGGTCTCCTCTGCCAGAACAGAAACGCCAGCCAGCGCCAGCGCACTCCCGGCAGAGACCCGGCCAAGCCCCAGAGACGCCGCCAGCGGCGTGGCTCCCACCAGGCCCGCCACCCCGGTGAGCTGGAGGCACCGGGCCGCAGGGCTGTGTCTGGAACCCGCCCGACTCCCTGAGCCCAGAAAGCCAACTGACGCCCAGCGTGGGGCCCGTCGCCCAGAGATGGGGCAGATCAGGGCTGGCGCGTGAGTGAGGTTTCTAGAACTCAGTGCTGGGCGTGGCAATCTCTCCCTTGGCTTCTGGAGCTCAGAAGCCGGGCACATAAACCTTGGAGGAGTGGAGGCTTCCCAAACTTGAGGCTGGGCTTTCAGACAGAGCTGGCAAGGGGCCTGCCTGCTGATTTTGTTTCGGGAAGTGACAGGTCCCAGGGGTGCCCCAGGTCTTCGGGCGCTCCCACCTGTCGGGCAGAGGAAGACAACGGCCCACCCCGGCTAGAGGCGGACGGTCGGCAGGGCCCAGACCAAGGAGGGCCCAGCTGAACTCTCTTCAGCAGAGGAGTCTGGGAATCGCACCCACTAGGTCCTCACCCACGAAGACCACCACGATGCCCCACCATGCAGAGTTCTCTCCCCAGCCCGCGACTCGGGGGCCCCAGGGGGGCGCGAGACACTCACCGTGCCATGGGATATGGTCAGAAAGCCGTTCTTCACGGAACATTTCCTTTTCTGCCACACTTTACGGATCCTTACAGATAAATGGGAAGGTGGTTAGACGGTCTGTGCGCCCGGGTGAGAAGGGGCCACCCCTGCCGCCCACCCACACCCACGTCGCCCACACACCCGTCGCTCTTCTTGTAGAGGTTCCCGCTGCGCTCAGTTCCGTGCTCCTTGTTTCCCTGAGGCTGATGCAAGCTGTAGGCCGCACTCTGGCGGATCTGTGAATCCTGCAAAAGTGTTGCAGAAGTTGGGTTCAGTCCGGTCCAGACGCCAATGGAAAGGAAAGACAAAGCAGCAGAAAACGACGGCCTTCACATGCTTCGGCGTCCCCGCTCATCACACCAAACACGGGCATAAATCACCGCCGGGCGCTGGGGGACACCCCCGGCCAGGACCCGGCGCTGCCAGGCCAGCGTCGCGAGTCTCCTACGGCAGCCAGGGGCCCGTGTGGCAAAACAAGCCCAGGGAGCCTGGCGCCGCAGCACACAGGCAAAGGCTGGACTCAGCGCGAGAAACCCGGGCGCGGCCTGCCTCGCACTGCGACACTGGCCACACTTAGGTTCCCTGTCTTGGCTCTTCCCTAGACAACAGGAGCATGATGCCCAGCAGGGTCAGAAATATCTGAGCAGGGCCATCGTGGGGACATGGAGCCCTAACAGGCACTGACCGATCCCAATGGACGCCCCCAATTCCAGCAGAGGGACTGCCCCCAACTGCGTCCGGCAGTGGCCACGGGAGCGCAGTCTCTGGGCGGCTTTGTCGCCGGACTCTGGCCGAGGCTGCCGCCCGGTAACACCAGCTGTGAACTTGCAGGAGGCGCGGGACCACCGGGCCGAGTGTGCGGCAGACAGCAGAGGCTCCACCGGCACCTGAAGGTGCCCCGGGAGCTGAGCCTGAGGCAGAGGACTGGCAGGGCCGGCGCTGGAAATTCTGCAGCCGTCACGGCCACCAGGGAGCCAAGCATGAGCGGTTTCCTAGGTCAGCCTGTGGAGCCCCCGACTGCTGCGGAGAGCCCCAGTCAGCGTATTCATCAGAGGAACCGAAACAGTGGCAAGGGCCTTGCACAGATGGAGGCCCATCACGCCCAGGGGAGGAGAGGAGGGGTGCCGTCTCCCCCTCATTAGAGGGTGTCCCGAGGCAAGGCCGAACTCATCTCTGCCGCCAAGCAGCCAAGAGATGCTTGGGGGGAGCAGGCAAGACCCAGGTGGCAAAGCTAAGGCCCAGAAATGGCCGCTGAGAAGTGGGCCCCACGGAGGGCGGCCCGAGGCGGGGAGGGCAGGCTGAGAGAGCAGGAGGCCGCTGGGGCCGGCGTGAGAGGCCAGAGAGCTGGGGAAGCTGGCCCGTGCCCAGGGAACAGGCCAGATTATGCAGCCAACATAAAAGTGGGTCAAGAGGTGGGACAGGCAGGATGAAGACCCAAACCACACAAGGTGCTGGATTCACGACGGTTTAAAGGTTGAAAAACACAAATCATGTTTGTCTGCTCCACAGTGTGTATTTTCAGATGTCACCCACCAGAAGTCACTGCCTAACGGAAGGCGGCGGAGACTCACGTCTGTGCCATCCAAGAGCGTCATAGTCCAGCCTCGTGCTGAGGTACTGGCCCATTTTGAGTTTCTCTCTTGACGGGGTGTGCGGCAGGGTCCAGACCCATCCTCTCGCCTGCTGCGACTCCCAAGCGTCTCGACACTCTTTGCCGAGATGTATGGTCTTTCCTCAGTGGGGGACCTCAGCATCCTCGTGGGAACCAGCGACTAGGCACGTGGGGCCCATCCTGGGCTCCCCACTCAACTCCGCTGACTGACTTAAGTATCTGCCCTTGTGCAGGTTCTACAGTGTCTTCATGTTTATGAAAAATTTTAAGCACGTATTTAAACATGTATTTTAAGCACTTCAAATACTACCTAGTCAGTCTACAGGAGTTATATTACCATACTTTCTGATTAAGGTTTGAAATCAGGAAGTATGAGTTAGACTTTGAGCTTTCTTCTTCTTTTTAAGACTGGCTATTTTGGGTCCCTTGCATTTTCATCAGAATTTTAGAGTCAGCTTGTCCATTTCTGCAAGAGGTGGCTGGGATTTTTACAGGGATTTTACTGATGTGGGCCAGCCGGGGGAACATGGACTCGCTGACAGTATTCAGTTCTCCAACCCACGAACATGGGATGTCTAGCACTGGCTTTTTTTTTTTTTTTTAATAATATAAGAGTTTGTTTTTACATCATTTTGTGCATTTTTCCATCTCAGTTGCAATCCCCTTGGGCTTCCCAGCCCCAAATCACCCCTGTGCCATCACCAAAGTCCGGTGCATTTCCCTCCCCCCACTGTTTTTGATCTCATTCCCCACTCCATCCCCATAAATTGTCTCTGGTATATAACTGTCCACTATTATTATTATTATTTTCTCGCCTGATCCGTTATACTCCTGCTATGAGTGAAACCATCCGGTATTTTTCCTTTTCTTTCTGGCTTATGTCACCAAGCATGATCTTCTCCAGCTCCATCCATGTTGCTGCAAAAGGCATGTGTTTATTTTTTTTTTGGCTGCTGAGTAATATTCCACTGTGTATATGTACATCTTTCTAATCCAGTCATCCACTTTTGGGCATTTGGGCTGCTTCCATGTCTTTCCAATTGTAAATAAAGCAGCAGTAAACATGGGGGTGCAGGTGTCTCTTTCAATCAGTGTTTTTGTGTCCTTTGGGTAGATCCCTAGGAGTGGGATGGCTGGGTCGTAGGGAAGCTCCATGTGTAGCAGCTTGAGGAACCTCCACACACTTTTCCATAGTGGCTGTCCTAGTTTGCACTCCCGCCAGCAGTAGCACTGACTTTGAACTTCTCCAACCCATACACATGGGCTGTCTAGCGCTGACTTTAGAGGGGACAGCTCTGGGGAAACTTCCACAGACCAGTCCACTGCGTTCCATCACTAAGCTGACCACAGAGCCTGAACACGCAAACCCAGAGGCGACGGGGCCTGGTTCTGCACAGGGCTCAGCTGGTGTGGGGGGCTCGCCGCTCACCAGGGAATTCAGCTCACCCGGGGGAGGATGGCTTGGTTCACAGCCTCTCAGAAGGGCACGCGATGTTTAGATCACTAGCTTAAAACACTGCTGGAAATAAATGCAGCAAAGGGGAAATAGAGAGAAACTGCTCACCTACGTGCATCTCCATGAGAGACTAAAAATAAAGGCTGGAGTGCACCGCGATGAAATGTGTCTACTGGTCCGGGAGGAACCAGCTCTGCACAACATCATGGAGAAACTGCGTGAGCAGCCTGAGGGCGTCCAGGCCGACCATGATGTCTGATTCTGGTGGCCCACGCATGAGATCAAGGACATTTCTCTGTCAACAGAGCCTTACCTGACGCCAGAAGGGAAGAAGAAATGACTGTTTTGTTCTTTAGACCAGGCATTTCTTGAACCACTGAAAAATGCAGGCTGAGCTGAAGCTGAGCTATTGTGTAAAACTGAAATGTTGCAAGTAAGAGGAATATGGTCTATTCAACAAAAAGCCGTACCTGCTTTAAAACTAATTACTGCAGCATCCTCAAGGTGACCCGACAAAAATCACTCTTCTTGCCTGTTCACGCAGGTTTGAGAATCACTTGCTCGAGTGAAGCCAGCCCTTCCCCCGAACCCCCGTTTCCGTCAAATGGAAGATGATCGACAGGAAAAGCCTGTCTCTCTGGGGAGAGGAGGACCCTAGCAGGTAGGAGCCAGAGCCAGGGGATGGGGCGGGGGAGGGGGATGTGTCCACAGCTGGCTGCAGGACTAGCTGAGGGGTGTCTGCAGGCGAAGACACGCCAGCGACTCGAAGGACAATTACATTCCAACTCCTCGAAGGGGCCTGAGTGAGCTCGGGGCTGTGGGGGCTCCTGGGGGTGCAGGTGGGCTGGGGGGTGCAGAAGGGACAGTGGCTTCATTTTCACAAAGAAGCAAAGGCATCGAGTGTAAACTTGGAAAGTCCCATAGCTAATATCTGTGCATGCAGATTCTTCAGGCTGTCATAAAACCCTCAGCTATGGAAAGGGGAAAGCTGGGAATGAAAGCTTCTACTAGCCATGACTACAGACAGGGAGAAAGCATGCATGATTCTGTAATTTATTAAAATAGTGAATTACTTACTCTCCTAGACTTCGGTCACAAAAGGTAAATGCATTTGGGAGAGAAACAACATTGCGTTATAGTAAGTCCAGGAACTTAACCAGTACACCAAACAGTCAACTGCAAACTTGGGTTTAACAGGTATCCACCTAAAATCTGGGAGCTATGCATTACACTCAGCCCTTTATTGGCAAGGATGTGATTCCACCTTATAACATATCCACGCTATAGCAAAACCATCAGAGCGTCACCCTAACAACGTACTTAACGTTTTGCTCTTTTACCTATCCCAAGAGCAAAATGCCGCCGCCGCTGTGTGCGCGTGCAGAGAAGTACCCGGTGAAGATGGTGCCGAGGGACTCGGGTTCCTGCCCCTCAGAGAGCAGGCTCGGGGCCGGTGGGGCAGGGCCGGCTCCACGCTCAGAATCACAGCACCCATGGGGGCAGGAGAGGCAGGCCAGGCCCACTCTGAGCTGTACCGCGCCCGCAACAGCACAAAACAGCTGCCAGGCTCCCACGGCCACGCCCAGAGGAAGCCGCCGGGACTAAGCGCCCCGGGAAGGCGTCGCGGGAAACGGAAGGACCAAGGACCAGGACGTCCTCACACATCAACGCGGCCTGAGACCGAGGTGTGATTCCCTGGGGCGCATGTCACACCCTCGTCCCAGCCTCTGAGCAGCGCGCCAAAATGAGATCTTCTCACCTCTTTCTGCTCCACCTGCAGCGCTGACTTGAGAATATCTCGAAGCTGCATCAGCTGCTTTCTCTCTTCATCCTGGGCCTGTTTGATCTGTAGAAACAAAACAACGTTGTGTTTCCAGCCTCCACCACATCAGCGCCCCCCGTCGCCCACTCACCCACCTCCTTCCTCCCCCCACGCCCAATAACCACCACTGTCTGCCGGCTAAGAGGGTGTTATCTGCTCGTTCGCTTGTAGAATGCACAGACGTGGCTTTAGCAGTCTGTGCGCGCGCCACCTTCCATCACCTTATAAGCCAACGTCATTCCACTCGTCCAGAAGGAGCAGAGGGAGAGGACGGGGGGTGCCGGGTGGCCAGGGCGGTGCGTGGCAATGGAAGAAACACCTCTCACTGCCTGACTCTCCCTCCAGGCAGAGGACGGCCGAGCCCCTCAGGCTGTGCGGAGCAGCAAACACGAGACAGGCCCGACCGAGGCCCAGCGCCTGCCGCGCAAACCCCGTCAACGCGAGGGGAGAGAAACGCTCACCGTGTGGAGGTCGGTGGAGAGCGTTTCAATGGAGGGCTTGAGGTTTTCCACGGCTTTCAGGCCATCCTGGAAAAAACTACGAGGAGGAAAGAAAAAACAGATAGTGCTTGATGAAAGGCAACCATCAAGTGTGAGAAAAACTTCCTGAAAGTGACCGCAAGCATTTGCCACTTTTCCTGACTCGGATTAAACAAACGAGAGCGGAATCTTCAGATTGTAACGGGAGACAGGGCTCGAGAGCCAGAGGCATGAGGCCGAGGCTGAGAAAGCAAGCGGGACTCACAGGCGAGTTCCCCTGACAGAGCGCCAGCAGAGGAGAAAGCAGGGAACACAAAGCCAGTGACGTCACAGCCGCCCAGCGCCCGGCGGGGGCGGGAGGGGAAGCCTGGGTGGGGACGGGGCGGAGTATCAAAGGGGCTTTGTGTCGCGTTCAGACCAGCGGGCATCATCTACATACAGCAAGTGATCTGGGAAACACCACTGAGGCAGCACAGGCCCCGCGGCCCCAGGAGGGCTCGCTCCGGCGGTGGCAGAGGCTGAGGGAGGGAGGCAGGGCCCCGGGAGCTCGGCTCAAAGCCGCCACTGCGGGCTTCGGCCCACGCCGTGTGCTCCACACTCTGTACAGCCAGACACACCTGCCTGCCGCACCTGCCCCTGCTCCCCGAAGGAATCCTCCCGTGGCGCAATTTCTACAGCTTGTACCTGCAGTCTAGGTGAAACAGCACCCCGTGATGAGGCTCCCCACGGCCTCTACTTTGCCAGAGGTCATATTCTCCCAGCACCCTGCCTTTCACTGCAACTCGCTCGCCAGAAGCGCGCTGGGCCTTCGCGCGCGGGATCATCTGACATCGAGTCGGCCAAGAGCGCTGGTTCTAGCGGCGTGAGAACAGCCGCGAGGGCCTGCGCTGCCAAGCACGTGACACTTGTCCCGCGAAGACGTAACTCACTGGCCGCCAAGGAGACCAACTTCGCCTGTGTCACGTGAGGGATATTTTTTCTTTTAAACTTGGCAGTGGCGCTGCGGGACTTTCCCACGCCAAGCATGGAGGGCGGCGATCCCAGGGGGAAGGCAGGAAGGGGGAGCGAGCTCCGGGCGGGCCCGCGCCTTCTCCCCCTGCTCGTCAGATGTCATCCCTGATGTCCGACTCCCGCTTGCCGACCCACTTCCCGGAGCGCAGACAGGCTCCCGGCGGCAAGGGCGTGGGCGTTACGGCGCCCGTGGCGCCCGTGGCGGGCCCAGTCAGGGCAGACCCGTGGCAGCAGAGGCCACCGGCAGGCACCCGAGGAGGCAGAGCCGCGGGGAGGGGAGCTGAGTCTCCCGCAGGGCCGCGTCTGCTCGCCTGTGTTCTTTATGTAACAGTTTCCTTCATCCCCCCAGATTGGTGCTAGACTGGAAGGAGGGTGGGGGGAAGGTGGGCGGGAGAGGGGGCCCAGGAAGCGCACACACAGGAGAAGAGGACCTGCAGGCTGCGAGATGTAAACGCCTCTGCCAGGGCAGCAGGCCTGGAGCATGGGGCCCCGGTGCCCCCATCGGACGCGGTGTCCAGTGCGGTGCTGGGCAGGGCACCTGGAGCCGTGGGTCTCGCCTTTGCAGTGTTTGCGAGCTGGACCACCGGCCCGGAAACCCTCCGATTCCCCAAGGCCTTGTCCTTCCATACCTTTCCCTTGGGTGTGTCTTGGCGCCTAGGTGCACCCCCAGAATGAAGACCCCACAGGGGACCCTGTGGCCACCTGGCTGCCTGCCGGCGAGAGACCCCCCACACCACCCCGGCAGGTGGAACAGGCGACACCTCCCGGCTCCAGCCACCACCGCCGTCAGTGTCGCCAAATGCCACCTCTCGTCAGATCCTGGCCAGCTGCCCGCGACTGGCAAGCCCGTGAAGTACACTACGGGGGGCACTGAGTCTCGGCAGCCTCCGCGGGGCGACCCCTGCACGGCCGCACACAGCAGCCCGCTCGCACGGTGGGGTCCATGCTCGGTGCCTCCAGGCGCCCGCCCCGGGCAGCCGCTGCCAGCAAGGGCCGCCTGAGGGGTCGGCAAGCCCCTCCCGCGCCGTGGCGCACGGCCTGCGCTGGGCGTTACACACCCCAACCATTTCCAGATTGGCTCGGCCCCGCGGGCCGGGCTCCCCACAGGATGGGGCCACCCGCTCTCCGGCCCGAGGGCACGGCTTTCGCCCGGACTGTGAGCTCCGAAAGTCAAAGCCACCGGGCGGCGCGCGCCCACAGCCACCAGGGGAGGGCCGGGAGCGTGTCCCTTTCCAAGGTGACGCCCGACGCCCGCAAGGGCGACGCGTTCACCCCCCTCGGCGGCCTGCTGCTGCCAAGTGGCCAGCGTGGGCACAGTAAGGGGAGAAAAGGAGACCCCAGAATTGCGTCTTCCGCAAAATAAACCGCCAGCGGGGAAGCGGCCGCCCTCCGCCGGCGCTCAGGCTGCGGGATCTGAGGGAGCTCGGCCTGCCCGCCCGCCGCGGCGCACAGGCGCCAGGGGCCTCTCCTGCCCTCCGCCGACAACCTCGGCCTGGGCTCCAGCTACAGAGGCGCCGGGCTGCCTCGGCTTCCAGAGCAGAGCTGCGTGTGGTTCAACGGTGCCCGCCGCGGCCACTGGCGTGTCGGCTGGGTGTGGGCGGTGCCCGCCGCGGCCCTCTCCTGGAAGGGCGTGCGGCTCCGGGCAGGGCAGCACGGGCGTCGCCTGGCGGGTGTGCAGACGGCGGAGGTGTGCAGCGTGGGGGACACGGGGAACAGCCGCCTCCGCGGGGGCAGACAGCTGCACCGGGGCGCCGTCACGGGAGCCGGGCCAGCTGGCCTGTTCGCAGACCTGACCCCAGAGACTGGTCCCGCAGCCCCCGACCTCCCCATACACCTGCAGGCAGACCGTGCTGCCCAGCCAGGCGCTGGCCCCAGCTATGGCCCGCATCCCGCGGCGCGGTCCCACACTCGGAAGGGGAGGAGCCTCGTGGGATGCCGGCACACTCACTCCCGAGACTGGATTCGCTGGCATTGACAGCTGTTCTCCCCTGTGAGGACGGAAAGTCCAGCGGGGGGAGCCCTCAAAAGCACCTGGCAGGGGCAGGAGCTTGGGGACACCTGCTGAGTGGAGCCCTGGCTTCACCCTTTTCAAGAACTTCCTAATCCACATGGAATCAAATCTAGAACCTGGTAGAAAAGCCCTAGAAACGTGTGGGGCCCTCAAAGACCTGGGGCGAGTCTCCCTCCCCCGCCCGCGTCAGCCCAAACTCCGGTCCCTTTGGCCTTCTTCCCGCCTTAAGCCCCGGCCGCTGCCTGGAATGCTCTCCCTCTACCCCTCACAGCGCCGGCTCAGCCTCCGCCTCTCAGCACACTTGTGTCCCCAGAGAAGCCCACAGACAATTCAAGAAGTATTTGAAGACCTACTATGTGCCAGCACCTGGCTGCTGGAGAAAACAGCAAGAAATGAAACAAAACCGCCAACCCCTGGCTTCAGCCTCCATCTGCGCGAGGCCCTTCTGGTACAGTCTTCCTTTGACTCCGTTTGAACCCCACTGACTGTCCGGCTGGAGCCTGCTGGCTGACAGCCGACTCCCTACTTGACAGGCACCGGGTGGGCCGGGAGGCGCTGCACCTCGGCCATGGGGAGCGCCTTCAGCACGCGCTCAGCAGGGACACGGGGGGGGGGAGCAGCAGGAGGGAAGACGCGCTGGGGGGAGGCCGACGGCCGTGAGCGTGGCCGACGCGGGCAGCCCGGGCCGGAGGTCCTCCTCACCCCGCCCTGGCTTACAGGCTGCCGGGCACGCCGTTTCTTAGTCTCACACACTGCCTCAGTACAGCTCAGACGCATCTGACAATGAAAAGAACTGGTTTGCTTCTTTACAAAAATAACAGGAACACACTTATTTGGGAATGACAATGAACTCTTGTGATATCTTTTTCCTTGACATATAATTCTCAGCTGTCCTCAATAATTCCCTTTTAAAGTGGACGGCTCCGTGGGCTCTAGGGCCTTCCAGGGTTGTGGGCGCGGCAGCAGCACCAGAGAAACCCCGAGCCTGCAGCCGCCCCGCCCACCCACCCACCCGCAGCTGCCCACCGGACCTTCCACAGCACTGACATCAGAGTCCTGCGGCCCTGCC